TGTATTATGTTATCTAATATAATAATATAGCTACCCGTGATGACAAAAGTTCTGCAGCGTCTTGGTAATTCTGAAGTTCATCAACAGATGGTGGTAGAAGCGTTAGCGTTACCCAGCCGCTGAGTTCCCATTCCCATTTGAACTGCCGCTCAGAAACGGCAGCGCTGGGCAGCAGCGGGAGCCTGCCCGGGCCCTGCCGCCACGGGCTGGGGGTCCCAGCTCAGCGTTTGGGTGGGGGATGTCCATCTTCTCGGCAAAAAAGTGAAAATGGTTATATTTTCCTGAGGCCAATACAAAATCAGGACAAGAGCATCCTGTCGAAACACGAATGACTCGTTGCTGGCGGCGCTCCCACGTAACCCGCCGGCGCGAGGGGGCTGCGGTGTCACCTCTCCCTTTCCCTCTGCAGATTACAAAGCGGGATGAACCTGCAGATTTGCTTCGTGAACGACAGCGGCAGCGACAAGGACAGTGACGCCGACGACAGCAAGACAGAAACCAGCCTGGACACGCCGTTGTCGCCCATGGTGGGTCTGGGAGCCCATCCCGCAGGGGTTCCCGAGCATGGAAACCATGAGGCCATCCACAACGGAAGCTGATAAAGAGCTGATCCTATTAAAATAGCGCTGCTAAACCCCAGAGCAGCATCTTCAGCTATCAATAAAAGAAATGCGAGAGGCTGAGGGGCAGATAGCAAACCGCCCCGGGCTAGCACAGAGCTGCTGTAGAGCAGGTGCCTTCGTGTGAAGGTGTTCCTTCTTCCTTCCTTCCTCCCTTTCTTTTTGGCTCTGATGATTATCAGGGCAGTAATGGATACGAAGTGGTATCAGCTTCTGGCAGCTTTCCTCCCCTCTCTTTTCCTTTGTGAACATAACACAGAATCCCCAGATGTTTTCCTCCAGCTTAACAAGTTTGTCCCTTCAATACCTATTGATCTGGTTGGCTTCCCTTTCCATTGAAGTGCTTGAGTTGCTATTAATAGTTAAGGGGACCTATCTGGGGATTACTCTGATTTTTAAAGATGATCTTGTGGATTAAAATCTTAAAAAAAATCAGTGCTCTTCACCTTTTCTGTAGAAAAGATACCACTTGTAAGTGTACAAAAATAGGTTAAGCTGACAGCAAACTTCTTCGCTGTGGCTGAGTTGGGGCAACAGGGCTGTAACGGCTGCGTGTCTGCTTCCATAGAGCAAGCAGAGCTCGTCCTACTCTGACAGAGACACGACGGAGGAAGAGTCAGAATCCCTCGATGACATGGATTTCCTCACCAGGCAAAAGAAACTCCAAGCTGAAGCGAAAATGGCCTTGGCTATGGCAAAGCCCATGGCCAAAATGCAAGTTGAGGTGGAAAAGCAGAACAGGAAGAAATCGCCAGTAGCGGATCTTGTAAGTGGGGGCCGGGGGACGGCGCGTGGGGGTAACACCAGCCCTTGTGCTGGTTGCTTTTGCTTGTCGAGACATGCAGAGCAGCCGGTGGTCCTTGCTGACGGTGCTTGTAGACGTGCAGAGGAGCAGAGGAGATAGGGACCATCAGTCAGGAGCTGAAGGTTCAACATGGGTCGTCTGATCAGGGTGTTACGGGAGCAGGATGGATGCAGGGAATGAGATGATGGTCATCAGCGTGAAGGTTGTTACTGACTTGAGGCTGGCATGGTGCTGCTCGTGCTCTAAGGTGTAGTCTGCTCAGCCCAGCCCATCAGATCCTGTACTGGAGCGCTCCTGCCTTGGTACAACGCTGCTTGCCATAGCCCTCGCCTCCCTTTGCATCAGCACACCGCTGATGCTGGTGGATCTGAAGGCTTGGGTCAAGCATTGTGTAGATGTTTCAGCTCTTTTTGGTACTCTCAGTGAAGTTGCTGAGGCAACTTGTTCAGCTCTTTTTGGTACTCTCAGTGAAGTTGCTGAGGCAGCTTGTGAGAGGGGGAGGCCTCAATGCAAACTGCTGCTGCTCAGGAATATAAGTATTTGGAAGAAAATATTAAAAAGTTGAAAATTTCTTTTCAGCTGCCACATATGCCTCATATAAGTGAATGCCTGATGAAGAGAAGTTTAAAACCTACTGATCTAAGAGACATGACTATCGGGCAGCTACAAGTGATAGTCAATGATCTCCACTCACAGATAGAAAGTAAGTCGTACTTGTTTAATTATTCTTTGGTATGTCCCATTTAATTGAGAACAGTCCTCCAGGATACACATCGAAATGTTGGCAAATGTACGGTAACACGAGCATACAGAAGAGGCACACCGTGGTAGTTGGAGGTGGAGTTCTCACCTGTTTTGGCTCCTTTGGCTTTTTTCTTTCCTTTTTTCAGTTTATCCCAAAGTGCTGGCTTGGCTTCGTAAGAGAGGAGGGTTGTAGCACCCAACACCCCACGTGTAACTCAGAACCTGGTTGGGTAAAAGTAGTCTTGGGAAGCCTGCTTGGCCTGGAAGCACCTGCCATTGTGGCTTTATGGCTGCATCTTCATGTGACGCTATGCCATGGCATCAAAACCAAAACCCTCTGGTTTAGCAAACATCCCGGGGTAAATCCAGTCTTGCAGCGCTTCAACACGCTTCATGGGTCCTTGCGTTTGCCCTCAGGGATGGTGCCCCAACCACCTCACCAGTCTTTGCCCTCTCCAAAAGATCCAAGTTTGTTTTTTTTTTTCCCCAAGGGATCTCCATCTTCCAATTAATTAATTAATTAACAATTTTGGGAGTAGACTTCTCTGGTGGCTGTAGGTCCAAAAAAAAGGTTGGTTGGGAGCTGCTGTGCTGCTCCTTCCCTACTGGCGTTGGTTAATTGGCATCCTTTCTGGAGGCAGCCCTGCTGAGGATGCAGAGCTGTGCCATTGAGTCATGATTTGTTATTTTGTGCTGCAAAGGCAAAAAAAAATACGCTCATTAATTTGGCTCACTTCAGAAAGCACCCAAGTATGGGAGCATAAGTGTTAATGTCATTAACACTGAGCTTTCTTCCCAAACTGAAGACGCATTAAACCAGTACAGCTGTATTTAAGCAGCTCTGGCAGTGAGCAATGGGCAGGTACAGCCTTCAGGGGAGCCCATGCCGGCAGGTTAATTTTTCACAGGGTTCTTTTTGTTTTCTTCTTCTTCTTCCCTGCTCTTTGACACAAGCCTGAGCAAGAATTCAATGTCACAAACATCCCTCTTGCGCAGAGGGGCCGGCTTGGACAGTAACCCCAAACCAGGGCGGGTGGGCAGCGTGTTCTGCGCTGCCGCAGGGAATTACAAAGCTCAACTTGAGGCTGCCCGGGCAAGTGGCTCGGCCGCTCTCTGCAGCCTGTTTCTTGCTCAGGGTTATTGCCCACAAAGTGAGTGGAAGCTGAACCAGCGGGACTCCGAGAGCTGAGAAATTCATCTTTATTTTTGTTGCTGCATTGAGCAGTTTCAGGAAGGAGCAAGGGGCTTAACAGTTTATCCTAGAAAACAGGCATCCTTTTCGGGACATCCCTCCTGGTTCTCTGCACCAGCCTGTGCGTAACGCGGTGGGGAAGGACAATGGACAGGTCCCAAACCGGGGTCCCGCAGCACATCACAAACTCACTCCCTTTCTCCCCGGTGCCAGGCTTGAACGAGGAGCTGGTGCAGCTGCTGCTCATTCGGGACGAGCTGCACACGGAGCAGGACGCAATGCTGGTGGACATCGAGGACCTGACCAGGTGACGGCGGCTGCTCGGGGTGTTTCTCTCTCCTTGCAGGTCTCAGCTCACTGTCAGCGGCGCATCGGGGTTTTCTTCTAGCAGAATTTCAGTTAGTAGAGCCTTTGCCATCAAAGGCGGGTAGGAGGTAACGCTGCGGGCTGCAAGGCACGTGTTTCTCTGCCAAGTGCCGAATGAGAAGGAGGGAGCGGGGCTGAGCAGGACGCTGCTCTTTCCTCCAAAACAAGAAATCAAGGCACTCGGGTTCTGGAGACCGTCAGCGGCTTTCAAGAGCTCCCCAAATGCAGGTGCTGGTGCACGCTCTTGAATTGGTGTTTCCCAAGCCCAAAAAGAGCCTAGGAAGGAGCGATGCTGCAAGCTCCCAGTGAAAATCCAAGGAAAATCCAAGGAAAATCCAAGCGGCTCCCCACGTCCCCCCACCCCTCTCTCTGGGGTGTTCTCCAGCCCATCTGCCTCCGCTGCCAGGAGGACTTGACCAATGGGAGAATTTCTGAATCTCTTAAATATTAATGTTCAATAGCCGACAAAACGTAAAGCCCTGGAGAATATAGGTGGGTTTCCTACAGGACTCCGTCTCCTGGGCAGCAAGGCTTACGAGGTGTTTCCCTTTGAGATAATTAGCGATGTGCTGCAGAAACACTGAGAAATATCGAAAGCTGTGGGGGAAAAAAGGCTGAAAAAGATGATAGTAGTTATTGTCAGTGCACAAGGACTGGGGTTTCAGAACCGAAGCACTAAGCTTGCAAAAAATACGGCCTGAATTTGTTTCTATTTTAAACGTAGCAGCTGGTTGGGATTTAACGGTGCTCTGCCTGGAAAAAGTTTCCACCAGCTGGGATGGCCGTGAGGGCTTTGGGGAGCAGTTCCCGTGCAGCCCCGGGGACACACAGGCGGGTTGTCACTTCTGAGTCTTGGGAGACGCCGTCGCTGCTCCCCTTAACGAAGGGCAGGTGACAAAAGGGGGGATTTGGGATGGGGGGTGGAGCTGGGTCGGCGGGCGGATGCCAACGCCACCTCACATCTGTTTCTGCTCCTGCGCACGGGGAAACGCTTTGCTTCCCAAATGCAGTTAGTGGCGGTTCAGTAAATGAAATTTATCTGGGAGCCAGTCGGCACAGTGGGGGCCTTGGTGCGTGGCGGGGGGCACCAGCTGTCCCCGTCCCCGTGTCGCGTGGGGCGAACGCACCGGCCGTCCCTGCAGGAGAGAAGGAAACGACCACCACTGACCC